TTGTTTTTTTTTTTTTTTTTTTTTTTTTTTTTTTTTGGTAACCGTATAAGTCATTTTATTAGTAAATATAACGCATCATAATACATAATAATTATAACATTAATACATTGAAATTCAAAGTTTTTCAACGATGAACCCCTCCATACCAAAGCCATGGGTTATCTAACCATGGCGCGGATAAACGTAACCAAAGATTTACTAAACTACTAATACTAAAAAAAAAAATTTAACTATGTATTGACTAAAATTTTCTATCTATTTGTTAGAGCTATTGTTAAAATCTAAACGACTAAGTACATTGATGTGTCGTCTACTAACAACGGCAAATTTATACATTTGACTAAATTGGTATGATGCTAAGCTAATCTAATCTAAAAACTCTGGAACTACTAAACTAATACGTTACCTTTTCTTTATAATTTTTTGCTATTTTTGTTGTATTTAAATCTTTTAATATGTTTTTACTATTTTCTATATTTTTATTTGAAAAATTTGTTTGGGTTATGAAACTTCCTTCGTGGCTACCATTGATCATGTCTTCGTGATGGTGCGGAATGTCTATATGAAAAATCTTGTTGTTCCCACTCCCTACGAAAACCATTTGTCTTGGGACATAGCTCTTGTAAGAATATCATCTGTTACCTTCTTGTAATTCGCCATTATCGTCGATGTAGTCGTTTTCTTTCTTGATCCATAATCCCCTTCCGATATCATATATCTTTATGGATTTATTAATTGCCGACATCAAATCTGATTGTTTATTGAAATACAAAATAATAAATCTTTTCCCTTTGACTCTGATAATTTTTCCAAAGAAAGCGTGAAACGCTTTCACCATTTCTTTTATAACCAAAATATCATCGTCCTGTATATCAACTTCCAATCTTTTAAGCGCTTGCCAATGAAACTTCTCTTTAAATTTACTGTATGGTAAATGCGAATCGGCCATTCTAATGAAGTAAGTTCTGTCATTATTTCTTGTTAATGACACGTTAACGCCGCCCTCTGAGTATATCTTTTCGTAAGCCTTGCTGAAGCGCAGCGTCGTTTTAACGGTCTTATACTTATGACATCATTTAAAATTAATGAATTCAACTACTCCCACGTTTGCATTTAGTAATCCTAAAATTTCCTCATCACTCCAATACGCAGGTATGTCGTAAAAAGTAATGTCACGTGACTTGTCGGCAAAATGTTTATCCAAATAATCTTTATCTTTATCTCCTTTATCGATCACTAAATCGGTGATCATTCCATTTTTAGCAACTGCTCGCGCCCTTTTTCTCTTTTTGTTGGGGCGTTTTTTCTTTTTCTGCGTCTTGTTATCTATTTCCATATTCGTCACTTGACTCGTTGGCTGTTCCTCTTTTTTTTCTAGCGCTTTAATTTTTTCCCATAAACTATTGTTCGTCTCATTTTTCTCTAATATTATTCGTTCTTTTGCTATGACATCCGCTTCTAAATTTCTAATTTTATTTTCTAGTTCTCGTATGACTAATCCGTTTATCAAAGCACTATCCGCACTATTTTCCACTTTTTTTCCCAAATCGTCAAATTTTTTTTTTAATTCTGCATACTGTGTTTCTATTCGTTGAAGTGATACCGCCGCAGTATATTCACGGCGAAGTAGAAATTCTATAACATTATCAAACTGGACTCCTGCAAATTTTGTTAGGAATAAAGATAAAAAATAATACACCGCTGGTACTTTCGTCTCCGGTTTGTTGAGGCGTATAGGTATCTTTCCCAGTTTTGAAACAGAAGTACTTTTTATTATCATTTTTTCCAAGTCTATATATTCTTCAATTTTTTTACACTTCACTATTTCTACCAAAAATCTATCATAAATGTCATGAAACGGGTTGAAAAAAGCTTTCATACATGTCTTCTTGTTATTGATAACCCACGTCGAGACCTCTTCTTCGTTTTCTATTAATGTTGTATCCATATTATCCATGTAACTATAATGTATTTTTGTTAATAAAAATTGGTTTAAGAGATTGTCGGAAAGAGTTTTCAATCATAGTTCGATCATTAAGTGACCAATACTGGAGTTGTCTCAACTTGATTGTTTGTTTAACGTCCGAAAAGTTTGAGGGAGAAGGGCGTTTTCATTAAACAAACTAAGCGAAATAAACATAAATTTCAGAAAATTTCAGAAGATCGTAATTTAAATTTGATGTATTTCAATTCGCAACATCTTTAATTATTCAAGGTGTTAATCTACTGGCAAACAATTTAATCATCAAATAAAGAACAAAAGGTTCTATTTGCATATATTGAAAGGCTAAAGGTTTATAAAGGAAAAAATGGTTGAAATGAAAATGACAGTAAATGATGTTTTATTTAATTAGTATTAACTTATTCAATTATTCCGTTAATTTAATTAAATTTATGTTCTTTAGATTATTTTACGAAAGAAATCGAATTAGAAATTACACAGTGAATTTCGATATGCTAGGAACACGTGATCAAGTACAATTGTTGATTAATTTTGGCCATAACTATGATGATCTTAATTCCGGCTGAAGTTACAATAGCTGTTAGATGGAAGTACAGTCATTTGGTGACCAATACTGGGGTTGTTTCAACTTGATTGCTTGTTTAACGTCGGCGTTTTCATTATCAAATTAAGCGAAATAAACATAAATTTCAGAAAATTTCAGAAGGTCGTAATTTAAATTTGAAGGGGCATTTAAACATATATGTTGTTATATCATGTTTATCAAAATTTAGATTTTAAAAAAAAGGGGGTTAAACAAGTGTTAAACAAACAATCAAATTGGAATGGTTTAAGATATGTGTTTCAATCCGCAACGTCTTTAAGGAATTTCGAGGTGTCAATCTACCGGTAAACAATTTTATGGCGTTAAAAATTTTTTTTTTTTTTTGTAAGAAAATTAAGAAAATTTTAATTTTAATTTATATAATTGTTGATCCAGTTTATTATCAGAAAGATATAACATAACATCCATCTGTATTTACTTAATCATTTATTTTCTATATTATTAATATTCATATTTGAAAATGTTTCGGTTGAACTATCAGTTATTGGATAATCTAACAGCTATTAATTATATCAGTAACTTCAGCTGTAATTAAGATTTTTTTTATTTTATTTTTACTTTAGAAAGGCAAATGGTATGGAAATATACAATAAATTCCGGAAGTAACTGAACATAAAGAGACGTAAAATCTATCTAAAGAAATCCAATAAAGTATATCCCATCAAGGACCCACCTTCGTTTTTTATAAAATAAAAAAAAAGCTAAACACAAACTAACAGTATTAGTATGATAGCTAAAAACACACTGGAGAATAAAAAAGTCTAATCTAAAATCCAGCCCGTATTAGTCTTTCACACATTGGTGCTACGCGCGAACGAAAAATCAGCCGGATTGATTAAGATCTATTTTTATTTTTATTTTTATTTTTATTTTTACTTCAAGAAAGGCAAAATCTGCCGATACAATGCCGGAATTAAGATCTACTAGTTATGGCCAACAATTGTACTTGATCACGTGTTCCCAGTATACCGAAATTCACTGTGTAATTTCTAATTCGATTTCTTTCGTAAAATAATCTAAAGAAACATAAATTTAATCAAATTAACGGAATAATTAAATAATTAAATACTATTGAATAAAACATCATTTACTTTTCACATTTTTTCCTATAAAATTAGTACAATGAGCTGATACTATATCAAATTTTTATTATATTTTCTCATTATTTAATTTGAATTTTTGCCCTCAATAAAGAACAAAAGGTTTTATTTGCATATTGAAAAAGGATAATCTCTTCATTTTATATTGAGGTTATAAAAATTCAAAATTTCGATTAGGAATATGCAGGATTGTATGGAAATCAGCATTAATTCCTATTGGTCACCGCAGTATTCCTAACCGAACTATACTAACTCAGTCATTGAATGGAGTCGAAGAAATATAATGGATTTAATTATATCGAACTTTTGTACCTAATAAACCGATGGATTCTATAAATCCGGTTTATCAAATTTCACCGTGTAATACAACTTTAAAATAATGTTAGTAAATAATAGTATGTTATGATTTCATAAAACTAACTAATATTTAATTTTTATTTAATTTAGAAATAAAGAATATGTACCAAGGAATTTAATGTTTATATCAACAACTTCATATATCATTATATTTTATATTTTTATATTATTTTACATCGTGTACCTTTAATTATATTTAACACAATAAATGAAAAAATAGTATAAATATCATGACTATTTTTGTTAACTAGCAAAAATCCCAGCGTAACTTACGATTAGCATGAAATATTTTTTACTTAGACACAATTGATTATTACAAGATTTCAAGTAGTAATTTTCGTGAAATTTATTTTGAATCGTAATTTACGATTAATAATTATTTGTAAGATCTTATACATTTTCTTTATATTTATAAACATGTATGTGAACTAGATTTTAAACCGGGATCATGTTTAAATTAGTCGTGTATTTGCTATATAATTGTGAAGCTTGGCTAATCCCTATAAAAATTTTATTTCGTGTTTTTATTCCATGTTATTTCCGTAAACTGAATGTATCATATTCACGGAGTTTTTACAGAAATTACGGTAACAATATATATAAACTTTTGAAATAAAAAAATATATATATAAACGTGATACTATGTTTATACTTTAGGCACCGAAAACTATATATGGCAAACATTTAGACTTTTAGATCAATGATGTTTCATCGTTCGAGTCATACTTATTTACAAGGGGAGATAAAATTGGACGTGTTTCTAACCTGATGTCAACAGAAGCATCCATACAAACCTACGCAAACCATCTAAAGAAGCTTTCATCGAAGAGGGTAACAAAATTTTTAGTTATATTAGTTTTAGGCTCTTATTATTTTAGAGAAAATTATTAAATCCACAAAAACAGCGTATAACATAAAAAATACAAAAAATTTCTTTTTTCTGACTCTAGTGATAAATATTAGTTAGTAGTGTGGCCCTAGTCTTAGCATAGTATAGTCCTTATTAGTAGTATTAGCTTCGGTTAATACATCCATAATTGATATTGAGTTAGTAGATAGTTTTTATACTATGTATTTTTATTATGTAATTTTGCTTTTTATTTTTTGTAAAATGAAAATTATAAATAAAAATGCGCGTTACTAACAAAAAAAAAAAAAAAACTATATATGACGAAATATATTTGGGATTTGATATATAGTTTCGGAATTCTGCCAAATCCAAAATCCCAAACCCACTATTGTCGAAATTTCAAACAGTTGACAAAATCCCGAAATCCCAAACCATTGCCGAATCTCAAATCGTTGCCAAAATTTTATTTTTATTTTTTTTATTCCTAATTTTATTTTTCGATAAGAAAATTGCCTTTTTTGAATTCGTGTAACGTCATATGCCAATAGTAATTTAGTCAGCAGTTTATCTCGATTCTTTCTGATCATTTAATTCTGGCGTGACCAATAGTGCAATAGCGGTTTGAGGATTGCGTCAACAATTATATGCCTAGACGCTAAGTTAAGTTTAGAGTTTATTAATTTGCATTTTTTATTCTTTAAATTAATTTTTTGAATTTCTGAGTTGAATTCTTGCTTTTTAACAAATATCAAAATAATTATACTAAGCTTATTGACCCAGCTAAGTAGCAAAAGTTTGCTGTGTACTTCACATACTGTATTTCAAAAGTTTATATTGCAGTTACAAATCGATCAATTTAATATATAACAGTATTTGATGTAACTATCTTAAAATACTATTTTTAATCAATAAACTTCACCGCTTAAAGCAATAAAAAAAAATGTGGTGGCTCGACTTTCATATTGGTTGGACAGTATAAAATAAAATTTTTCGTTTTTGTATCCTGGAAATTCTGAATTTAATTTTATTTATAATTTTTTAAAAGAATTTAAGAAAGTAATAATTAAAAATGACATCATTATAATAATTATAGTAAATCACTATTCAGTGATTAAATCACGCATTATCTATCGATGATTATTAGTTAACTTTTAAGTTCCCATAAAGTTAATCCATTTATGATTCAATTCAAAGTGATAAATGATAACAAATAATTTATTAATATTCAATAACATGTAATGTATAATAATATATAATCCGACTATATAAAGTACTATGTAATAAATAAATATTCTAAAAAAAAAGAGATGTTTTTATATATTATAATTCAAAGAGCGTTGATATCAAGATCAAATTCCTTGGTGACGTATCCTATATTGATAAATTTTTTTTAACCCAAAATTATTTATATATAGTGTTTACCTTTATTATGGCGTTGATCAGAACTAATATTAATATCCAATTCAATTTCTTTTGTAAAAAAAACATAAAGATCAATTAAAATTATGACGAATATGTACATTGTTAAAATGTAATATTATTTATCGTTATTTTCATTTTCAAGAGATTTCTTTTTTTAATATTTTGGTCTTAATAGTAATTTTTTTTTAAAAAAAAATAATAAAAATCTCGTTTTTGATGTATAAATTTATAATTATCTTTTTTTTTTGATTTATATTATGTATTTAAAAGAATATGACTAAACTTATTCTAAGGATAAGTATTAAAGTACAATAGGCTATTTTTAATTCTGCTCACATTTTTTTGAATTAAAAGATAAAATGATTTACTAACTCTTAAAGATTAAATTCGCTGGGAGTAACCAAGGTTTTAATGACAATTGAAAAATCATATCCTCCAAAAATGTCTTTTTTATAGATACCTAAAAATTATACTTAAAAAATTTAATAAATTAAAAATTTATTTCATTATTAAAATTTCTTACTTGAAATATTTCCGGTTAAATATTTAATTTATTGTGGTAATATTTCCATCATCTAAATTTTAAGCTAATTTTTATGATAATTTTGATGAAAATTTATTAATGGTTTATATTTTATTTTTCAAAAGAATTTATTTTGTGCAACGCGTCAATTTTACAATACTAACGAATCATCTAACCATTTTTATAGAAAGTTGTACTATTCATGGATGAAAACATTTATCCTAGAGAAATTTATTTGATTGTTTTTCATAACCTAAAATAATTCTTGCCTACATAACAAATTTACTACCAAATGATGGACCACAATGAAGGTCACACATTATTTAGAAAATGACGCAAGACGTCATGAATTACTTTATTCATGCAACATGACAAAAAAATGTTTAGTTATATTGATTTTAGTATACGAAAAATTTTGCAGTGCTTGTACAGTACATCCTAGGGATTTACTATACAAATTTCAAAAAGAATTTGCTTTCACTTATGTTTCATCCTTATCAGTACTAAATAATCACATTAATTCAGGCTTTCTCTCACCAATTACAGTATGTGACCAACAGACCAGACGGTTAGATATAATAGATAATGAAAACATTTTTTTTTCTTTTAACGTAAAAAAATATTCGAGATCCACAAAATGAAAAAATTAATATGTTATTATACTTCTAAATAAAGGAGTTTTTTAAGGAGCAGCTTTAACTACCTAATGACGAAATTGAATTTTGTTATAATGAAACATTTTTCTCCCAGTGAAGAATGAGAGTTACTAGCTAATTGATTTTTGATTTTTGATTTTTGATTACTATTTTATTTTGGTTAAGAATTCTTTATTTATTTATTTATTTATTTTTTTAAAAAAAAGATTTATATAGTAAGAATAAAAAAAATAATTTTTATAACAAAAATGTTTAATTGATAATAAAGACTAAAATAAATGATAAAAAATAAATGTATAATTAATTGAGTGATAATAAAATGAAAAAAAATTACATAATTGATAACTAATAATAAAAATTAAAAAAAAGATTAATTAGATTGATTGTAATTCATATGGTTTATACGAACATTTCTTTTAACATTTTCCTTATTTCGTGGCTAAATATTTATCGGAGAAGATGAGGAATATATCATATTAAAAAAAAAATTTGTCAAATAAAATATTAACAAATTCATATTTTTTGAATATCTTACTTGTCGTGTTTTGGTCGTATGCGACATTTTTCGTTTAAACCTTTTTCTTTTTTCCTACGGATCGTTATCTTTATCATGATTTCTAGGTGTTGTGTGTTAGTAGTTAAATCCATTTTTTTTCCTATGTACCTTTCTTCGATTTCTTGCCTCAATATCTTCTAGTAATTTGTCTATTTGAAATTTTGCTTCATCAATCCTCTTCCCAGAAGAACTATTTCCAACTCTATCCTTAATTATATTAATTTCAATTTGTACTGGATTTGTATTTTTAATATATGTGTACCAATCCTTTCAGCAATGGTTACGTCCTTTACGATCAATTAATTTACCAACATAAATATTTTAAGCAAGACGTTCGATAAATCAGCTGATGATCACAAAGTCACGAATAAATTCGTTAAGAACTTTCATTTATAGATTCTTGCCGAAAATTTAAAATACAGAAATTAAATAAAATACTCTGTTTGTATAAATTTCACAAAAAAAATACTTTATCGATTATTTAGTCTCAAAATTACTATTTTATTATCATTTGTGATTACTTTTATACTGTACAAATTACTGATAATATTCTTTATGATTGTTTAAAGATTCAATAAATTAATACAAGTATATAACTAAACAAGTTGCGTCATTATTAGGTGAAAAATATATAAAAAGGAAATTATTTATGAATGAACTCAGTTATAATATAATAGTCAATATATCAATTATGTTTTACGAAAGAAAAAAACCAATAATTATTGTTGATATACAGTATATACAGTATATAAAATTAATAAATTAAAATTTCCATTCACTTTAACAATAACATTACATTTTATTGATTTGCTAATTTCCTTTAGTGCTTCCAAAATAATATAGTATTTAAACTCAAATCTTCATTTGATTAATCACACAAATATGTTTTCAGAGTATAGTAACTTAATAATGCCATAAATTTTATGCTTTAATTAGTTAGCAGGTAATAATTATTATTCTTAATGTACTACTATCTAATAGACAAATTAGTAAGAAAAGAAATTATTTCTAAAATATTAAAAAAATTATAATTTCTCAATTCATAACAATTTAGTTACACTTTGTTACCAAACGTTAATATAAATGAACAAGGTTTTTCATTCATACTTCTTACATAGCATGCGAAAATTAATATAAAGGGTTAAAATATTTCCTAAGAAAAGCAAAAAAACATAACGGCAAAAACATAAAAAAGGTACATGAATGAGTAAATATGCTTATTTTTTTTCCAAAAACAAATTAAATTGAAACTTTATTACTTGCGCCATGCTTTGACAATTCGACATATAGTAAAAGATGATGACAACGCAACAATCGAGCAATAGTAATCATAATTATCACGTTCAAATTCAAGAATTCTAAAGAGGAAATACACAAGGAATATTAGAAGGTTTAATGTTAAATTTGAAAATGTGACTACTAAGTCAAAAAAAATATAAATGATGTAATTTATTATTTTATTATGATTTTATAATATACAGTACATATAGTAATTCATCCTATTTATTTTTGGTTTAATTTATAAAAAACTTTATTAATCATAATAAATATATTCCAATAAAATACACATACTGTAATAATGATAAATAAAATAAATAGTAAATAATAGATACAAATAAAGACATTTATATTCTGAATATTTGTAAATTTTCTTCCTTAGTTCTCTTTATCTACATGAACGAATTAAAGTAAATTGTTAATATTATTAGTAAAATTAACCATACAGAAAGCAAATTGATATACTAAACGAGTACCTAGATTGAGATTAGTGAAATCTATTGCTTCTATGGATTCTAGAAAATAAAAAACAATTGTATATTAAAAGTATTTCATTACCTGAATATTCTACATCAGCTTTGTTATCAATAGCATTTTTTGGTTCTGGAAGATTTTTAAAGTCTAAAAGTCTACTCGTGTAAATTGCTTGAGGATTTGTAGTATATGAAAGAGTAGTACCGTTATATGGTAATGAAGTAGAAGTAAACTTTTTATTAATTCTTTTTGCTTCTTTGACTTGCTTATTGATTTCACTATCATCACTATTATCATCATCATCACTATCATCATCATCATCGCTATCATCACTATCATCTAATTCATCATCTAAATTATCTACTAACTTATATAACTCTTGTGCTTTAGGTCGTTTTAAAGGATCAGCATCCCAACATTGTTTAATTATGTCCAAAATTAGTTGTGGAATTTTATAATTAGATTTTGGCCTAAGCCCTTGACAAATGCTAATAGCTAAGATTTTATCATGAGCAATATCATGATAAGGAGGAAGCCCTGTACAGACTTCATATGCAATAATTCCAAATGCATAAATATCACTTTCTTGAGTATATTCTCTTCCTCTTAAAACTTCAGGTGCTACATAAGGTAATACTCCGTATACTTTATTTTCATATTCATTTTGAGAAGATTTTACATTTGCTGGTTGGCATAATCCTAAATCAGTAATAATAGTATAATTACCATCTTTTAACATATTACCACAATGAACATCATGATGAATTAATCCTTTTTCATGAATAGAATTGAGGCCATCTGCAATATTTTTTAAATCATTCAACTTATCTTTGAATTAAATGTATTATTTAAATATTGTCTTAAACTACCATCTTTTACATATTCTATTACCATCATGAAATTATTAGATTCTGGATCTTTGGTAATGCCAAAACATTCAGCTACACAGTGTGAAACAATCTTATTATATGATTCAATCTACATAATAATAATAAATAATAGTAAGTTTAACATTTATAATGGAATAGTAGTTTACAAATAAGTAACCTACTTCTTTTAAAAATTCGGATGTAATATCCTGAGAATTATGTAAGCATTTAAAACAACTTGAAAATTTTCACTATCCTCAATCCAATATTTGTTTCTATTCCATTGATTATTTACAGAATCCCATTTATTTATACATCCATCCTTCCAAATTGCTTTATAAATAGTTCCAAATCCTCCTTTAGCCAAATATTCAACATTTTCAAATCTATCATATTCAATCCACTCTAAAATTTCACTAGATATTTTAGCTTTAAGTTGTGATTTTTGAATAAATTTATCAACTTTATCATTTCCACTAGTCCAATTTTTGAAATTTTGTTGAAATTTACATTGAAACCAATAATTGGTAATTTGAGGCTGCTTACATTCTTTGCATAAACCATTCTGTTTATAACATTCTTTTAATTCATTATCTAATATTAGCTTATCAATTAACAATATTTGTTCATCTGTTAATCTCCAATAGTTAAAATCTTTTATTTGCTCAATTACATCATCACTGAGCTTAAATTCTTCCATATTAGATTACTGGTCAATTTATGTAGAAGAGGATTAGTTTTTTTTTTTTTTTTTTTTTTTNTTAGAGGATAATGATGAAAATGTAATTGTTTCTACTGATGAAGATATAAACAGAAAATTGGAGGAAGCATTTAAATTATATAATTTGAAATTAATTTTTTTTTTTTTTTTTTTTTTTTTTCCACTCGCGTAAACGTGAAACTCCTTTATTAAATTTGTAAAAAGCGCACCATTTACAAAAGCAACCTCAAAGAATCACATTGAAGTAACCAGTGCAAGCACTGATTCAACCTCTCCATACCGGGCGCTTCGGCCTACCGCTCGGTCAACCCACGATCCCCTTTAAATACTACACAACTACAAGAAAAACTATCTACCTATAAGTTATATTTACCTATATACACTATACAATGTCTATATTAAGTGAAACTACTTCTTTTTAACTAATCTACATCTACCTCCTCTATCTCGTCCGTGACTACCTGGTTTTCCTCCTCTTTTGTTATTTGATTCTGTACTTACCACCACTTGATCTTCTTCATCTTCATCACTATCACTTTCTATTCCTTCTTCCTCCATTACACGGTCATCTTGTTTCTTTCTTAAGCGTTTCCGTTGTTCTACTTCTTCTTTTGCTTCTTTTAATACCTTCTTGTAAGTATCAATCATCCCATCGAGTCGCTTTACATATTCTGGAGTAAAAATCTTTTCTTTCTTTTTTTCCTTTTTTTCACCTAGCCTCTTGCTACATGTTTCATTTATTGATTCATACTCGTGCATTTCTAATGGTGATACCTGTTTAATATTTTCGTTGGATTTCGTTTCTTGCTCTTTTTCATTTTCAATCTTATCCAAGATTTTTTGATTTTCGTTCACTTTGTTTTGAGCTTCATCCACTTTCTTTTGTAACGTATCACGTTCCGCCCTTCCTTCTTCCATCTTCTTTTTTCTTTCTTTTAAATCCGTAACTAGCCCAGCATATCCGTATCTACATCGTTCAATCCACTTTTCATCATCTTTTTCTTCATGTGACAACTCTTTATTTATTTCTTCTCTTAAATCCAATACTATGTCTACAACTTTCTCTGGCGAAGCGTAATCTTTTATTGAAGTCGACGTGATATTTTGTGGAACTTCATCTAACAAATTTTTCCTATATTTATTTACTACGTCGATCACCTCATCTGTACTAACGTTATCTATAATTGTTGACGTGGCCACGGTTTGTTTTTTTGTTGCAGGCTGTGCTTTTCCATTATTTCATGGTGTAGTGCTGACCAAATCACTACGTGAGCCCCTTATTGGGAGGTCTACCGGTTGATTGCCCAAACCCTTACCATGAATAATCCAAGTATCGTCTCCTCTTTTATCTAAAGCCTTAGCTGCGTCCAATTGATCTTTGTCTTTAAAGTATGCAAGGAATACTAACTTTTTTCCAAAACGCGCCATTTTGCCGTACTCAAAAGAGTAATTTTTTCTAGCTACGTCTTGATAATAACTTGAACGAATTATTTTGTATGCCTTCCACTTACATTTTTCTTTTATAGATTTAACTGTACTTTGTCCTGGAAACCAACGAACTTGCATCGCGGTTTGTCTCTTTTCACTATTTCCAAATAAAAGTTGTACCTTCCATGTTTCTCTAACAAACTCACTTTCGTATTCCTCAAATAAGTTGATTTCAGCTCTTACCGATTGGTATTTGTAGTGCTTTTTAATCCTTATTCTATGGACATTTCCTATATTTTTAATGGCTGAAATAACTTCACTTTCACTATACCGCGCTAGTATATCGTAAAACATTATGTCACGTGATGTTGCACATACGCCCCTTGAATTTTTTATGATCGGCTGTTGATCGACCGGTTCAGGTAGTATGATTTCCTTAACATCTTTTTTACCATGTTCTTTCTTTTTTGCATTTTTTCTTTGTTCGTTCTGACTATTGATTGGTTCTTTAAACTTACTATCATTTACTCTTTTTGGTACTTCTTCATGTGGCTGATTTTTTTGCTGCGCCTGGCGCAGCCATGAACGAAGCTGACATTTTCGTTCCCTATCCTTTTAACGTTATTATCATATTCTTTATATGCATATCTCAAGCAACCTCGTAATAGTATTTCCACTGTTTCTCCTCTTATTCCCGTAGTTTCACTTATTTCGGTTAAAACTTTGTGTGTCCGTAGTGTTCTGAAGAAAATTTTATCAAGCTTGTTTTGTAACTTTTCTGACGAGCTGGTTTTTGCATTTTTGAAATTTTTCTTCACCAAAGTGCTGACTTCTTTTAGTATTTTTTCGTCGAACTCATCCTGGTGTAGGTATGACTCCATTTCCTTTACTTTTTGACAGTATTTTTATTAGAAAATGAAGTAATTTTTATATTTTTCTTCCCGTGAATTTTTTGGTCTGAATGATCGCCAGAGAGAGTTCTCCTAAATGGATCAGAGGATTAGTTTTTTTTAAAAAAAAAAAATTTACGCTTTTATATGTTGCACTGCAGTGATCAACAAATTTTAAATCAGCTGATGATCACAAAATAAAATATTGTTACACAAAAAGCAAACTACAAGTGATAATTATATTTTATAAAATTTTTAATCTAGCAATTATTATTGCTGTTTTCTAATTACTGTGATCTAGCATTATTTAATAAAAAAAAAATTTTTTGAGAAAATATGTGAAAATAAAAATTTTATTGCATTTTCAAATAAAGGAGGTATAATTATAAGCTGAAAATTACAATTTTAAAAAAAAATTTTCAATTTTTAAATAAGTTTACTTATAAGTAACTTTTTAAATTTTGTGTAACAAATCGTTTTTTAAAAAGTTATTTATAAGCAAACTTATTTAAAGATTGAAAATTTTTTCTTAAAATTATAATTTTAGCTTATAATCATACCTCCTTTATTTGAAAACGCAATAAAATTTTTATTTTCACATGTTTTCTCAAAAATTTTTTTTTTTTATTAAATAATAATAGATCACAGTAATTAGAAAACAGCAATAATACACTCTGTTATTGATAGTGGTATTCTTTTATGATTATATTATTGTGATCCAACTAAAAGTTATTTAATCATTAAATAAATGGAAGTATATAATTCAATTATTTAATCTTTAAAGCAAGTAATTGGGAAATTTCAACAGTTGATAAAAAAATTGTAATGAAACCAGAAAATTAAAATTTTATTTTAACATCTTTTTATATAACATAAACTTTTATTGATAAATGATTTGTTTCTTCTTTTAGTGCTTCCAAAAAAAATATATTATTTAAACTTTTTTTGAGTTTTTGGCTAATGACATAAATGTTTCTAAAATATAGTAACTCAATAAATTTAGTGCTCAAATATTGTGAATAAAACAAAAATAAATTTATTTCTAATAAATAAAATTTTAAAATATCATAATTTGCTTAGATAAAGATAAATAAATAATATAATTAAAATTTATTCCAAAAGTAATAAAACATATATTAAAAAATTTCTTGCAATTATGATGTAGCGGCATGTTCAAAGTATAGAATTCTAAGGAGGGACACAACAAAGAATATTAAAGGATTAAATAAATTGAAATTTGAACGAAGTTGTAGTTGTGGCGCAGAATATTACTGTTAATAACTGAAGTAACGTTCGTGTATTAAGATTTTCACGATATAATAATTATACAAACCTCTTCAAACTTTGATTTGCACTTTCGGCATTTTCTAATTTTTTAAGCACTACTTTTATAATTGAATTTTGTATTCCAAATTTTTCAACTCTTTTTAATTGTTTTTTTCCAGAATCCCATTCATCATATCTTCCATTAACCCAATCTGATATATAAATTTCAGAAAATCTACCTTTCGTTTAATACTTTCGTTGAATATTTAATATTTTATAAATTACAATATGGTTCCATTCAACTACCATATTTGGAATAAGTGTTTCCAATTGACATTTCTGTATTAATTCGTAATCCACAAGTCAACTGCAAATGATCTGCAGAAAATGGGAATCTGGCGTGGCGTCAAATAAAAGTAAAAAATTATGTGAAAAATTATTGCAGAAAAACAAATCATTTGAAACTTTGGGATAAATATTATGTATTAAAATATGTTGGTGTTGAATGGATTCACATAAAGAGCATAATTTAAGGAATGAAAATCGGGCATCAGAAAAAAATACTAATGATCGACACAAATTTTCACCGAAATCAATATATGAATTTTTTTGCAGTAGACTCACGGATCACGAATTAAATTTATCAATCTTCTTTTATAATTTCGAATACAATATTCACAATATAATGTTTCTAAACACTCATGGTTACAGTTTTCACAAATTCTTTTTATTCCTGAATTATAAATAACTTTATCTCGATCATAAGACATAGTTAATTTTTTACTGCATAAGTTTTTTAATCATTTGTAAGAATCTTATCAGCAAGAATTGTTTGTTTGTAAAATTCAAAATGTTTGTGTATATCATTGTAAATATTAGTATCTGTTAATGTTGTTGCTCTATTAATTGTTGCAGCAATTAACATAGATCAAAGAGTGGACATAATGTAATCAATAAGTAAGAAAGAAATAATTATTTTAAGTTCGTTACTCCGAGATAAATTAGTAAAATTCAAATTGTTGATCAAAACTTCATGTGCCCACATAAATTTGTGATCTTGAGGCATAGTATTTTACGCCTCATAACCAAAAAAAGAAAAATATTACTACCATTTATTGCCCGCACGTAATATAACAATAAAAAAAACTCAATTTAAATGAATAATACGGGAAGTTGCAGAGTTCGGTTGACTAAAATGAGTGGAATACAGTGCTGTTACACCAGCAGTACACTTTACTCAATAGTACGTACATAATTGTCGCTTTGTAAGGATAAAAAACATAATAGTAACTAATTTTCTTATCTTTTGGCATGCGTTTTGATCAACACGAATATTTTTACCGCTACTTATTTTCGCCAATCAATATGATACTTAAGTAGGTAAATAAGAATTGATATAACTAAAATTTTTTATATTATTAAAATATCATAAAAAAAAATGTTTCAAAGAAAAATTGAAATAAAAAATAATTCAAATTCGAAAAATAATTATTAATCACATCATTGTTTTAATTGTTTTACCATTTCTGCGATTTTTTTTTCTTTTTTGTATTATTACCGTTCATCTTGTCATAAAAAATATATTAAGTTAATATAAATTCTAAATTAAATTAACAAACACATTATGAAATTAATAGATACCGTTTCCGTATTCCATCTAGGAATGTATCCATTATAATTGCCCCGGTAGGTATCGTTCGTGGGTTCTTCCCATGTATTGTTCACAGGTTTTTTCCATGTATTCTTTATTGGTTTTTCAATACTCCATGAACTAAGCTTTATGGAAATAAATTTGAATCATAATTTTAAAATAGTATAGGTTTATTTTAATGATAGAATTTCACTTAATAAATACCTTTTCTTCATCGAGATCTTCAATCTGAGAAGTAAACTTTAAGTGATGAAAAAAAAAAAGAATTCATATGAATTCAAACTATTAAATAAACATAGATTAATTACTTGAAAAATTTTTTATTTGGTACGTTTACCTTTTTTGAAAAAAAAAAAAAAAAAAAAATTGATACCCTTCTTCCCTGTCTATGGTTGCGTTTACCAAATTTATTGTAATTTGGATTGTAATTTGGATTCTTAGGTAATGGCTGTATCCGGGTAATTAAAGGATCAACTACTTCTTTAGTATCTTGTTTTTGAGAATTAGTATTGGTAACCGTATATCCTGGATAAGTAGTAGTAGAAGGAATAGGGGGAGTAGGGTCCGAAGGATAAGTCTTTTCAGACATTTGTGGCCTTGATTTATAATTTAATTTGTCATGTAAACTTAATAAATCCATATATAAATCCTCGGGTAGAACTTCCTTGTAAGGTAATACTTTATCTGAAAATTCTTTAGAAGTTAAACTATAGAATCTAATAAAAGGGATACAATTTCGTAAAGTATTCTTTAAAGAACTAAAATCATCTTTTGAATAATTAGAGGAATCTGAAAAAAGTTCTGGATTTTGTGTAAGACCCCATTTAAGAACGTTTTCCCATATTTGAATTTCATTCATTTGGAGATTATGACCTTGAATAAGCGAGATCAAAATTTTTTCTGGAATTGAAGTAAAATCTAATGACTTAAATATTTTATGTGGAGCTTCGTACATTAAATCTGTGCAATACCCCTGAAGTTCTAAGAAAGAATCATTATCAAAACTTGTTTGATATATCAAATTAAAATTCTGTTCCGTCCAATTTGTTTTGTTTTTAATCAAAAAAGATTGTAAATAAATAACCAATTCTTGAAGATTTAATTCATTGGCGGCAATTAAAAGTTTAACTATATCTAAATTATTATAATCTTTCAAAAATAATTTCCCTCCATAAATATATCTAAAAAAAAAAGATAAAAAAATTATTCACGATTTAAAATAAGATATTTCAAGTTAATTTTTTTTTAAAATTTCATACTATTTTTTACCTTAATATTATTTGAAAAATTTCCGGTAAAATATTTGGTAATTTAATTTGTATCATAAAAGTTTCATCAATTTTCTTTTTATTTTTTGCCAAAATTCTTCGTAAATAAGATGAACGATAATTTAAGATAACCATATGTGCACGAAATATTCTTATGTTATTATCGTTTCCAACTTCAATAGCAATATCACAATATTCTTCATCATTATCTAAAATTTCAAGTAAATTTTGTGATAATTTTTGTGATAAATTATTATTATTCATTTTTTTTTTTTTTTTGAAAAATGTATACCGTATATATATTATATATATATAATGGTTATTCTCAAAAGGATGGAACCTTAATATATATGAATTTTAAATAATTTTGATCTTCAACAATTACATTTATTTCTTTTGGCTAAGTAATTGTTTTGTTAATCAGGAATCGGAAAAATATTTTCCCGTATTTGTTCAAATTACAGGATTTTTTATTCAGGTTAAAAAAAGAATAGTTGCAATTATATTGCACACGCCACGAATTACCAATATAAAAAAAGACAATAATATTTTTCTCATAAGGCAAATATTGTGCACATTTATAATCTATTTTTTTGAATATTCTTTAAAATAACGTTATAGATACGACAAGGCAGATTTAGAAATAAAAACCTTTGATCTCACTTATCCGAAGTAATCTTCAAATTAATTCGAATTTGGGAAACATTTGTTCTCAAAAAGATAATTTCGAATAATGTGCTCATTTTATTTAAGTTTATAATTGTTTAATTATTAATTTTCAGAGATATAATTATGTCGCAAATATAATACCATATGAATTTATTGATGTCTACGAATATTAACTTATTTTCCATACCATTATACAGTAAAAATAATTGTTTATTTCTTATAATATCTTTTTTTTCTAAATAAAAAAAAAAAATTACATTTTAATGACAGTAAAATCAGTACTTGTCAATAATAAGATTCTTTTCTCTAGCACTCTTCGGCATTATATTAATTTAATTTTTTAATACTGAAAGTACAAATAATTGAATTTAGAAATGGGTCGCATTTCAAAACAAGCTTGTCATTTAAATAATCACTTGAAATTTTACTATTTATACTATATAAGAGCGATATGATTTTTATGTAACAATCTGATCACTCGAAGTCAAATCAGCACACAAGAAATTAAGTTTAAGATTGTTTTGGGTAAATAAGAATTGGAAAATTTAGAATAAAAAAAACACTTGAAAAATTTTTCATTAATTACGTCATTTTTTCACCAAATCTGCATATGAAAATACTTTCTTTTTTTTGTTTTTTTTCCTTTTCCTAATGCTATTCTCAATAATCGTGCTACTCTGAGCATCCTTGTCGTAAAAGATAAATTAAATTCATGAATTTCAAATTAAATATAAAATACTTTATAAATATTTTTATAGTTACCTTTTCTGTACTCCGTCCATAAACTGTTTCCACATCATCCCAAGATGTAACCGGCGCTACTGGATTTTCATCCCACATTCCTGTAGCTGTCATTACTGACGTTTCATCCCATCCACCTGCAGACTGAGGCGCTACTGGCTCTTCATACCATCCACCTGCAGACTGAGGCGCTACTGGCTCTTCATACCATCCACCTGCAGACTGCGGCGCTACTGGCTCTTCATACCATCCACCTGTAGACTGGGGCGTTACTGGATCTTCATTCCATTCACCTGCAGACTGCGGCACTACTGGCGCAAATAAACTAATAGGTTCATTACCTGGTTTATTACTCCACGATCCCTTGGGAGGTGCATGATAGGCTTTATTCTGCTTGCCTGAGATTAGTGCTTCCCATGAACTGGTGAGTACATTATCCAATGAGCCCTTGGGAGATGCATAATCAGCTTTATTCTGCTTGCTTGAAATTAGCGTCTCATGTGGACCCTTAGGAAGTGCATTATCCCGTGAACTCTTAGGAGGTGCATAATTCCATAAATTAGAAGTTTCATTACGTTGTGATACATGCTTTAAAATAAAGTAATTCAATAAATTTAATTAATACTTCTTTTAAGTCTTTAAAGTAAGTTCAAAAAAATAAAATAATTAATTAATTAATAACTTTAAACTTTAGCATAAATTTTTGATAAAATATTATTATACCTTTCTTTCATCATCAATAGTCACAGCAGAAGTCGGTAACCCTTCTTTAGGCATACGAGGCTTTGATTTATGATTAATCTTACTATCAGGATGCAAATCTAAAAAGCTTTTTAATAAATCAACAAATAATTCCTCTGGTAAAACTTCCTTATAAGGTAGAATATTATCTGAAAATTCTTTAGCAGTTAAATTATAGAATCGTATAAAAGGAATGCATTGTTGTAAGGTATTTTTTAAAGAATTAAAGTCATCTTTTGAATAATTAGAGGGATCTGAAGAAAGCGCAGGATTTTGGGCAAGTCCCCATTTAAGAACATTCTCCCATACTTTAATTTCGTCCATTTGAAGATTATCGCTTTTAATAAGTGATATTAAAATTTTTTCTGGAATTGAAGAGAAATCTATTGATTTGAATATCTTATCTGGGTTTTTGGAAATTAAATTAGTGCAATATTCTTGAAGTTCTAAGAGTGAATCATTTTCAAAACTCGTTTGATATACCAAACTAAAATTTTGTTCCATCCAGTTTGTTTTGTAATTAATCAAAAAAGATTGTATATAGGCAACCAACTCCTGAAGGTTCAATTCACTAGCAGCAACTATGATTTTAATAATATCTAAATTATCATAATTTTTCAAAGATGGTTCTCCGCCATAAATATATCTAAAAAAAAAAATAAGATTAATAAAAATATATAGATACATCATAGATTCAATATATTTATAAAACGCATAAATAATAAATTTATTAAATTTATTTTATTACTCATTACCTTAAAATTGTTTGAAAAATTTCTGGTAAAATATTTGGTAATTTAATGTGTACCAAAGTTTCATCATTTTTCGTTTTATTAGTTGACAAAATTCTTCGCAAATAAGAAGAACGATAATTCAATATAACCATATGTGAACGAAATATTTTTACGTAAGGATCATTTCCAACTTCAATAGTAATATCATAATATTCGTTATCATCTAAAATATCGAGTAGATTTTGTGATAATTTTTGTAATAATTTATTATCATCCATTTTTTTTTAAAAAAAAAAATGTTGTCATGAGAGAAAAAGAAAATTGACACCTTATATGTAAATTTTATGTTACTCAAAATCGGAAAAAGTTTTCCCTTTTTTGTAGAACGAACTTTGCATTAAATCTAAAAAATGCAAAAATGAATGGGACCAAATATAATTTGTAGATCTTTTCTTTTTTTTAGATAATGCCAACCAGAGTTTATCAACAAGCATTATGCTTCTCTGACCAGAATTAAAGCTACTAATAGTAAATGTGCGCCGATCACTTTATGTATTTGCTCGGGAAATTCTGTAAAAATAATTTAAACCCGAGGATTGAGATTAAATTATGAATACGATACTAATACGACTTTATAAATAAACTAATTTTTATTTTCATTGAATACAGACAGAACTATTAAACATCGATTTTGCCTTTAAAATAAATCATGATCATGTCCCTGGCCCTTGAACATAGGGTCTCTGGTCCACGGGCAAAGATTTGTATACAATGCAACGTTTGCTGAAACCTCAGATTTAGCGACTTTAACACTTTTGGCATGTGACTATCATGTGACTATAGGGTAAATTGCTAGTGGCATTTTTTTTCATTTTGGCTGTCCAGTTTCTACCTCACTACTTTATGTTGGCTACATGGAGGTAATATAAAACCTTATTTGTTTTTAATTTTAAAAAATACGAATATTTTTTTCTAAAAAAATTTATGAAATTATAAATTCTATCTTTTCACTTCATATCTTCTATATATCAGAGATAATGAATGTTGTGACAATTTATTAATTTTAAAAATACGAATTTATTTTAAATCCATTAATGAATATTTTCGAAAATAAAACTGCATAAATTTACCTAATATTTATAAGTTTTTTTTAATGCATTGTAAAAAATTTATATTATTAAAATATATAGTACGAATTCATTGTAAATTTATTGTGCAATTTATTATCTATACAATATATTACTGAAATGCATTATAATAATATAATAAGATACTCGTTATTGTTAATTTATTGATATATAGCAAAAATGTATGATAAAAAATTCTACATGTATTTAAATTTGAATAGTAAATAAATTATGTAATTAAATATAAAATATATCAATATATGATACAGTTGGGGAGATTCATAAACTTCGTAGCCACGCTCAATTAAGGCAATGTACTATTACTAGACCTATGCTAAAAATGACTTTAGCAAGGCTTTCTTTGTGAATTAAAAGAAATTTCATACACTTTGCCAGCTGGTGAGAAAGCTTATGAAGCAACCCATATTCTCATTTCCTAATAAAAGATTCACTAATAAAATATTTTAAATTTTAAAATTTTCTATAAATATTAGATATTTAACAAAAGGAGAAAAGTGCATGGTTTAAATAAATTGAAATACTTCAAGGAATCCCTAAAAAGAAAAAAAGTAAATACTTTCCAAAATTCACTTTTTCGTTCGTAATCACATGATATCAATTGAAATCAAGATTTGCATCAGTTCGCACCTCCAACTCGTACAAACGATTCCAGAAAAATTATATCCAAATATAATAAGAGATCCAGAGAGACCTGAAGAATTAGTTGCATTCAGCTACTCATTTTTATTACTTTGAACATAATTGCCTGGTTAAATTAAAAAACACTAAATAAAAAATTGCAACAATATTACAATTTTAGATAAAAAATATTTACTTGCTGCTTCTTTTTCATTAGGCATAGTAGTTTCTTACTCCATGAACTGCTCCTTGAACTGTTATCATCCAATAAAATGGACTTTGGTTTGGACCAGTCATCTGATGAAATTGGACCTGGGTTGGACTTTGCGATCTTACTCCATGAACTGCTCCTTGAACTGTTATCACCCAATAAAATTGGGTTGGACCAGTCATCTGATGANCGATCTTATTCCATGAACTGCTCCTTGAACTGTTATCATCCAATAAAATTGATGAAATTGGCCTTGGGTTGGACTTTTCATCCGATGAAGTTGGCCTTGGGTTGGACTTTGCGACCTTACTCCATGAACGATTCCATGGGTTGGGCCTTTCATTCAATGAAATTGGTTTTGGGTTGGTCCTCCATTCATCAATGTGACCTAATGAAACGGGCTTTCTATTATCCCATGAAAAGGTTGAGTTTTCAATCTTAAAAGTAAATTAACAAAAATAAGCAATTCATTCATAATTTTAAATTAAACAAAAATGTTATTATACCTTTCTTTCATCATCAATAGTTGTAGAAGTTGGTGTCCCTTCTTTAGCTATACGGGGCTTTGATTTATGGTTGACCTTGCTATCAGGATGTAAATTTAAAAAGTTTCTTAATAAATCCGTAAATAATTCCTCTGGTAGAATTTCCTTATAAGGTAGAATATTATCTGAAAATTCTTTAGAAGTTAAATTATAGAATCGTATAAAAGGAATACATTGTTGTAAAGTATTTTTTAAAGAATTAAAATCATCTTTTGAATAATTAGAGGGATCTGAAGAAAGCTCAGGATTTTGTGCAAGACCCCATTTAAGAACATTCTCCCATACTTTAATTTCATTCATTTTAAGATCATCAATTTGAATAAGTGAGATCAAAATTTTTTCTGGAATTGAAAAGAAATCTAATGACTTGAATATCTTATCTGGGTTTTTGGACATTAAATCAGTACAAAACTTTTGAAGCTCCAAGAAAGAATCATTTTCAAAACTTGTTTGATATACCAAACTAAAATTTTGTTCCATCCAGTCTGCTTTGTAATTAATCAAAAAAGATTGTGTATAGATAACTAGTTCCTGAAGGTTCAATTCACTAGCAGCGACCATGATTTTAATGATATCTAAATTATCATAATTTTTCAAAGATGGTTCTCCGCCATAAATATACCTAAAAAAAAAAAAAAAATTAATAATCATTTATGATTAATAAAAGTATAAATTCAATATATTTATAAACGCATAAATAATAAATTTGTTAAATTTATTTTATTATTTTTTTACCTTAAAATTATTTGAAAAATTTCAGGTGAAATATTTGGTAATTTAATTTGTACCAAAGTCCCATTATTTTTTTTTTTATTAGTTGACAAAATTCTTCGCAAATAAGAACGATAATTTAAAATGACTATATGTGAACGAAATATTCTTATGTTATTATCGTTTCCAACTTCAATAGCAATATCACAATATTATCTAAAATTTCAAAGTAAATTTTGTGATAATTTTTGTGATAAATTATTATTATTCATTTTTTTTATTTTTTTTGAAAAACGTATACCGTATATATATTATATATATATAATGGTTATTCTCAAAGGATGGAACCTTAATATATATGAATTTTAAATAATTTTGATCTTCGACAATGACATTTATTTCTTTTAGCTAAGTAATTGTTTTGTTTATCAGGAATCGGAAAAATATTTTCCCGTATTTGTTCAAATTACAGGATTTTTTTTATTCAGGTTAAAAAAAGAATAGTTGCAATTATATTGCACACGCCACGAATTACCAATATAAAAAAAGTTACAATAATATTTTTTTCATAAGGCAAATATTGTGCACATTTATAATCTATTTTTTTTTTGAATATTCTTTAAAATAACGTTATAGATACGACAAAGGCAGATTTAGAAATAAAAACCTTTGATCTCACTTATCCGAAGTAATCTTCAAATTAAATTCGAACTTGGGAAAACATTCGTTCTCAAAAGATCATTTCGAATAATGTGCTCACTTTATTTAAGTTTATAATTGTTTAATTATTAATTTTCAGAGATATAATTATGTAGTGTTCCGAAAGGGTTGGGTCAAACCCGGGTCATTTGACCCGACCCGTGTTTAAAATCCGAATCGGGTTTATCATTATTTGACACGAGTCTTATATTCAACCCGACCCGTCGGGTCAGGGTCACACCTTTGCTTGACCCGAGTTGACCCGGGTTGACCGGGTTTAATCAAATATTTATATTTAAAATATTTATAAACACGATTTTTAATTTCTAACTTTGTGTATAAATGAGTGAGGCTGAGAAATTAACTCTTGGAAAACGAATTTAGTTAAGAAGTCTATAACCCTTGAGCAGATCGAAATCAAGATGTTCTACTATGATGGAAGGTATATGTTTAATAATAACTAGTATATTTTATTAGTTTTTTTTTTTTTTTTTTGAAAATATACTAGTTAACTATAGTAAAGTATTCACAGTTTCACACCTAGCAGCAATGGTAAGAGTAATCATTAAATAATATTAAAATTGGTCAAATTTTTTTTTTACCTGTAATTGAAAGTGTTACAGTTGAAGATATTTTCTGGAGGAACCGGCCAAAAGAAGCAATCTAAAACCAAATACAAATCTCGCGTGTATATGTTTGAGCGTAGGAGGATTTAATAAAAATTATATATTTTAAGCATCTGAAAATTTTATTTGGATCCGGGTTATCCAAGGATTAAACTATATCAGGTCGAGTCAGGGTCGGGTCATGTAAATATTAACTCGGGTATTTGTACGGGTTGGTTTTTATACTCGGGTCGAGTTCGAATACATCCTCAAACCCAACCCGACTCGACCCTTTCGGAACACTATAATTATTTCATATAGCAGATGGACTAATTAAACAAATATATGCACAGTATAATACCATATAAATTTATTGATGTCTACGAATATTAACTTATTTCCCATACCCTTATACAGTAAAAATAATTGTTTATTTCTTATAATATCTTTTTTTCTAAATAAAAAAAAAAAATTACATTTTAATGACAGTAAAATCAGTACTTGTCAATAATAAGATTCTTTTCTCTAGCGCTCTTTGGCATTATATTAATTTAATTTTTTAATACTGAAAGTACAAATTATTGAATTTAGAAATGGGTCACATTTCAAAACAAGCTTGTCATTTAAATAATCACTTGAAATTTTACTACGATATGATCATTATGTAACAATCTGATCACTCGAAGTCAAATCAGCACACAAGAAACTAAGTTTAAGATTGTTTGGGGTAAATAAGAATTGGAAAATTTAGAATAAAAAAAACGCTTGAAAACTTTTCATTAATTACGTCATTTTTTCACCAAATCTGCATATGAAGATACTTTCTTTTTTTTGTTTTTTTTCTTTTTCGTATTGCTATTCTCAATAATCGTGCTACTCTGAGCATCCTTGTCGTAAAAAATAAATTAAATTCATGAATTTCAAATTAAATATAAAATATTTTATAAATATTTTTATAGTTACCTTTTCTGTACTCTGTCCAGAAACTGTTTCCACATTATCCCAAGATGTAACCGGCGTTACTGGATTTTCATCCCACATTCCTGTAGCTGTTGTTACTGACGTTTAATCCCATCCACCTGCAGACTGCGGTGCTACTGGCTCTTCATCCCATCCACCTGCAGACTGAGGCGCTACTGGCTCTTCATTCCATCCACCTGCAGACTGCGGCGCTACTGNGTTACTGGATTTTCATCCCACATTCCTGTAGCTGTTGTTACTGACGTTTAATCCCATCCACCTGCAGACTGCGGTGCTACTGGCTCTTCATCCCATCCACCTGCAGACTGAGGCGCTACTGGCTCTTCATTCCATCCACCTGCAGACTGCGGCGCTACTGGCGCATCCCATCCACCTGTATATTGGGGCGCTACTGGCTCTTCATTCCATCCACCTGCAGACTGAGGCGCTACTGGCTCTTCATTCCATCCACCTGCAGACTGCGGCGCTACTGACGTTTCATCCCATCCACCTGCAGAACCCTCCAATGTGTAGTCCCATGCAGCCTTCGTAGGTTTCTCCCATGTATTCTTTAAATGCTCTTCAGTATTCCATGTATCTCTTACAAGTACTACTCTATCCCATGAACTATAATTTATAGGCTTCTTTTAAAATAAAGCAATAAAAATAAATTTTGATCATAAATTTCACAATAACATATATATATATAAATATATTCGTGATAAAATTAAATCAATACCTTTCTTTCATTTATGATTTTAATCTGGGAAAAAATCTTTATACGTTATTAAAAAAAAAAAAATATCAAAATCAAAATTAATTAAAATTATTAATTGAACGTAAATTAATTTCTTAGTGAATTGAAAATTTTACCTTCTTTAACCTCTAAATATAATTTCATAAAATATTAATAAGCGATTCTTTAATCAAACTTAAAAAACATAAAATAAACTTCTTGATAAAATCATAAAAGTCATTAAAAATACCTGTCTATTCCTTCTAACACGACGTTTATTGGATCTGTTAAAAGGTACATGATTAAATATTTCTATCGATTTATTTATATTATGTTGAGAAGGATTAATTTCTTGAGATTTTGATATATTATTTAACTTGCTATCAGGGTGTAAATTTAAAAAGCTTTTTAATAAATCCATATATAATTCCTCTGGTATAATTTTCCTATAAGGTAATATATTATCCGAAAATTCTTTAGAAGTTAAATCATAAAATCTAATAAAAGGAATACATTGTTCTAAAGTATTCCTTAAATTATTAAAATCATCTTTTGAATAACTAGAAGGATCTGAAGAAAGTTCCGGATTTTGTGCAAGACCCCATTTAAGAACATTTTCCCATATTTGAACTACATTCATTTGAAGATTATCATTTTGAATAATCGAAATAAAAATTTTTTCTGGAATTGAAGGGAAATCTAATGATTCGAATATTTTATTCGGATTTTTTGACATTAAATTATTGCAATAATTTTGAAGTTCTAAGAAAGAATCATTTTCAAAAATTGTTTGATATATCAAATAAAAATTTTGTTCTAACCAATTTGCTCTATTATGAATCAAAAATAATTGTATATAAATAACTAATTCCTTAATACTTAATTCATTAGCAGCAATCAATATTTTAATTAGATATAAAATATCATAATTTTTCAAAGATATCTTCCCTCCATAAATATATCTAAATAAATAAATAAATAAAAATCATTCACGATTAAAAAAAAAATTATATAACTATAAAATGCATAAATAACATTGTTTTTTTAATACCTTAAAATTACTTGAAAAATTTCCGGTAAAATATTTGGTAATTCAATTCGTACCAAAGTTCCATCATAATTCTTCATTTTATTTTCAAATAAAATTTCTCGTAAATAAGGAGAACGATAATTTAAAATGGCCATATGAGCACGAAATATTTTTACGTAAGGTTCAACATCACCAACTTTAATAATAATATCATAATATTCGCCATCATCTAAAACTTCAAGTAAATTTTGTGATAATTTTCGTAATAATTTATTACCATCCATTTTTTTTAAATGTAAAAAAAGAAAAATGTCGTGAATGGGAACTTTATATATAAATTTAATGTTACCTAAAATTTGATCTTCACCAATTATATACTCTGCTTAACAGTTAATAAATGGTCGGAAAATATTTTTTTTTTCCTTTTTTTTTGTAATACAAATTACGCAATCATTAAATAACAGTTAAGTCGTACAATACTGAGTCATTTGATTGATACAATGTACGTGTGACGTTGAATTCGTATAACGATAACATAGATTGTTTCAAATATACGAACGAATACAGAAGTATCTAGTGTTGCAAGTCTATTTTAAAAGAACTTTCTTAAATTGTATCGTCTTTTGGCCAATCTGCATAGGAAAGACTTCAATTCAGTCTGGTGAAGAACCTATTGAAATTTTTGGATTTAATCCATTTTATAAAATGCGACATACAGTACGTGAATACGTAGTGAGTTATCGTAAATTTTTCAACTATTCATTTTAAATTTATACATGCGATGAAGCCCGACAATCTTTCTCATAACATTATTTAATATTCCCTAAGATTATTTGAAAAATTAGATAAAATATTTGATAATTTAATATAAACTAATATTTCACATCGATTTTCTTTTTATTTGTTGACAAAATTCTTCATAAGTAAAAAGTTTAATAATTTAAGATAATCATATGCCTTTAAAAAAATTTTTACGATAGATCGTTTCCAACTTCAATATATATTTGAACATTGAAAAAATGCCGCCTAGACAAAGAAGCCCATACTCTGGAAGAAATTCAAGAGTTTTAGCCGAACACTACCACAAAAAAAAAACTATAAGAAAAAAATAATTATGTAATTATGAAACTTCAGACATTTATTGATTAAAATATAATAAATTGATGATAAAATATTAAAAATAAAATCCGAGTATATAACAGTGATAATGATTATATTTTATTCTAAGGACTTGATTTATTAGATGCAAAATTCGACTATGAAAAAAAAAGCATCAAATTATGTTGAATTGAAAAAATTAACGTCGCATATCTCAATTGTCGCATGAATTTTTTTTTTTTTTTTAAAAAAAAAAATATTTTTATAATAGATTTGAGTTAAATATTGATTTTTATGTATGTAAATACAATTAACTTAACTGTTTAAAAAAGAGGCAAATACAGAGGATTCCATATTGAATTGATAATAGCAAAACAACTTGTAAATGATTTTAAATATGTAGTAATATTGTCAATAAATTAATAAATATTTACTTAAGTAATATAGGTTATGAATTTTATTAATAATTTAAAAATAACTAAAAAATAAAACTAAGAATTTTTATTTTCGTTTTTATTTGTACAAATATATTTAATTAATGATAATACTTATAATTCAATATTTACAATATTTAAATTAAATTATGATAAATTCTTCCTAATACTCACTATTTATATGAATAAAGTGTAAAATAAAAGCGTAACATCATTCTTAAAATATAATCAGTCATATTATTTCACGTCATTACATACAGTATTATAGATTTCATTGCATGTTATGGAATTCTTTCTGAGAAAATTATAATTCTCCATTAGAAGCTTCAAAAAAAACACAAATAAAAATGTAGTCGGCTACGCCACGTCATATGCATATTATTATGTAATACTTTAGAATTCTTTGCATGTTATAGAATTCTTTCTGAGAAATTATAATTCTTTATTTGAAACTTCTAGAAATTGTGTAAAAGTCGAAAATAAAATTCCATTAAATTTAGAAACGTATATAATAGACAACAATTTTCTTTACTCTCAAATTTCTCAAATTAAAAAATTAAATTCTTTTTTTTTAAAAAAAAAAATAAAAAATAAAAAATCATGGAACAACCAATCAACTATTTATTATCAAACAATACAATTTTAATTCAACCAGAAAAAATCAGTGTAATCAAAATACAAAAAAAGGAAATGTACCGAATGTAATAAAAGAAGGAAGACTTTAAATGAAAGTCATCAGATATGTCATGTTTGTTACAAAATTAAGATGGTATAAAAGTACGACCCAAGCGGAAACAATACTATTGATGACTTTATTAGGAATGCACAAATTAATCTTGTTAAAAAACATGGGAAAATGGAGTTTGTTCCTTATGATCAATTCACGAATGTAGAATTTATTGCCGAAGGAGGTTTTAGTAAAATATATAAGGCTATTTAAATTATTTAATTATAGTAGCAAAAAGGGAATTTGTGAACGAAATTATACAATTGTTCTCAAAAAGCTCAATAATTCTAATAACATCACATCTAAGGAGCTGAATATTATGATAAATCTTAAGCTAATATAAAAAAATCCTTTTTATCAATTTTTTTACATTATACTAAGATATTTAACGATTATTCTTCAAAACTTAAAAACAATAATGGATATGAAAATATTAACAGGTATTTTGGGATTACTCAAGATCCTAATTCTCAAGACGTAATGATTATCATGCCATATTATGATTCAGGTGATTTGATACATTACATCACTAAAAATTTTCATAGTATTAGATGGGCAACAAAGCTATGGGAATTAAGAAAAATAGTAGACGGACTCATTCAAATACATAAAGTAAATATTGCCCACAGAGATTTTCATAGTGGAAATATCCTTCTTAATAGAATTAGTTTAAAATTTATTCGTAGTATAAAAATAAGTGTTCTTGGTAGAAGTAATTCTGCAACTGAATCTGGAGATAATAATGAGAATTATGGTATTATTCCTTATATGGCTCCAGAGATTTTTCAAAGACAAAAATATGATAAAGCTTCAGATATATATAGTCTTGGAATGGTTATGTGGGAATTAATGACAGGTAGAAGACCTTTTTGGGACCGAAGTCATGATACAGATCTTATTATTGATATTTGCGATGGTTTACGACCACCAATTGTCACAAATGCACCTGAAGGATATATTGAATTAATGGAAGAATACTGGCACTCTAATCCAGAAAAAAGGCCATCTGCTACTGATATACATGATAAACTTAATAAAAAAAATAGAGAAAGATGAAAAAAATAAGAAATAAAAAACTGACTGAAATTATAAAATCATCAGATATTGGGCCTGTAACAATAAATAATCCGAATGCCATTTATAGGAGCAGACCTCAAAGCGCCATGATTAATTCTGCAATATCTTTGAGGAATTCAAGAAGCCAATCTATTAATTTAGAAAGAGTCAAAAGGAGATTTAAGGATGATTTAATTGAAAATAATAATTATTATGGTATGATATTCGTTATTTGCAAATATTGATAACCATTAGCAAATCATTATTTTTTTGATTAAAAATATATTTAGGTCAAAGTATTAAAAGAAATAAGTTATATGAAAATAAAGGTAATTACTTTTTTTAACAATATATAAATTTCATATTTTAATTTAATAAAATTTTGTGTATACTTTTTAGATTATCTTACAAGAGAACTCGAATTTTGATATTGAGATGAATTTAAATAGTAGTAGTAAGTAAACATACAGTATTGATATGTACTTTTTAGTGGTAACTTTTATTTATATATTATAAACCTAATTTTGTTTAATTTATATATAGAATATATTACCGAGGAAATTGATTTCGATATTGATGTCTAAATTATCGAAATTATATTTTTTATGTATTGAAATAAATATATAAACACTTATTGACGTTTTTGTATTGACTTCTAAAGTTTCTTTAAAATATGATAAGGTAGGGAATTTACTATTTTATAAAAAGGAAAGGGACTATATGTAAACATGTAGTCATGTAACACCCATCAGAGATGGATGATGTGGATGATGTTATAACAATCGATAAGTCGATAACCAAAAAATAAGATATTTATCGAACGCATGCCAAAACCATTTTCAAATTAAAGATAAATATATAAATGAACAATCTTGGTTTATTTTTAATTACATGCATGAAAATAGACTTGTAAGAAAATTAAAATAATAGTTACTAATAAAAAAAACATTATTATGATTATTATGGTTATAATAAATCATGATTCAGTGATTAAATCACGCATTAATAGTGGTAAGAGGAGTTCTTAAATAACATAATATAATACGCTTGTATATAAAATGGTTTAATACTTCAATTATTTTTCAATACTATATAATAAGTTACTAAAAAAAAAGAAAAAATTTTTTAAACATTATAATTTAAAGAGCGTTGAGCTCAATTTATTTGGTGACGTATTCTAGTATGTTGATAATCTTTTTTAAACAAAAAGTTGGATAAAATACGATATGATGCTAACTTATGAACACCATTATTAAGATATTGATTAAAACTCATATTAACATCTAATAATTTAATTTCTTTTTAAAGTAGCTTATAAAAATATAAAATTATGATATGTTTCTTTTTAAACATAAATAAAAATACATAGTTTACATTTTTGAAATAAGATTTTCAATAACACGCTCCAAATCTCCATTAAATTCTTTCAAAGCTTTAAGATTTTCCTCTTCATTATTGAATCCCATGTCTTTCAAACGAATTAATGTTTCTTGATACTCTTCTGAAAATTCTTGATCTAATTTAACAGGTAATGATCTTTGAATGTTTTGGGTTCCCTTCCATGGGGTCAATTCCTGAGAATTTTCATAAAATAAAAATTTCAAATAAAAATAATGTACAAATTTAGCATAAAATGTCTTTCTTGATAAATTATTGATACCTGGTAAGTCGATGCAGAAGAAAGATCCCCATTCTTATTTGATGAAATGGAAGATAATCGTGGTAGTTTATGCAAATCGTTAAAATATGATGGTGTAATAGGACGTGGAGGAGTCATGCGAGGATTTGATTTGTGATATAAATACGACGGGTTAAAAAAAGGAGGTGGAGGTGGTGGTGGAGGTATTTCTTTAGTCATGCGAGAATCTGATTTGTGACTTGGCTTGCTATTAGTATTTAAACTATTTAAACTTAAAAAGGTCTCAAATGGGTTGGAAGATAATCGTGGTGGTTCGTTAAAATATGAAACTGACGGTTTAAGAGGAGATGGAGGAGTTATTTCTTTAGTCATGCGAGGATTTGATTTGTGAATTGGATTGCTATTAAAAAGGGTCGATGCAGAAAAATCAATTAAATCTCCCTTGTAATTTGATGAACTGGAAGATAATTGTGGTTGTTTATCCAAATCGTCGAAAGTATTTTTAGAATATGAATATGACGATCTAGGAGGAGGTGGAGGAGTTATTTCTTTAGTCATACGAGGATTTGATTTGTGACCTGGCTTGCTATTAGGATTTAAACTTAAAAAGGTTTTTAATAAATCCATATATAATTCCTCTGGTAGAACTTCCTTATAAGGTAGAATATGATCCGAAAATTCTTGAGAAGTTAAATTGTAGAACCTAATAAAAGGAATACATGATTGTAAAGTATTCTTTAAAGAATTAAAATCATCTTTTGAATAATTAGAGGGATTTGAAGAAAGACCAGGATTTTGCACAAGACCCCATTTAAGAACATTCTCCCATACTTGAATTTCACTCATTTGAAGATTATCGCTTTGAATAAGTGAGATCAAAATTTTTTCTGGAACTGAAGAGAAATCTAATGATTTAAGTATCTTATCTGGATATTTAGACATTAAATCAGTACAATACTTTTGAAGTTCCAAAAAAGAATTATTTTCAAAACTTGTTTGATATATTAAATTAAAATTTTGTTCCATCCAGTTAGCTTTATTTTGAATTAAAAAGGATTGTATATGGGTAATTAATTCTTGAAGGTTTAGTTCATTGGCAGCAACTAGGATTTTAATAATATCCAAATTATCATAATCTATCAAAGGTAGTTTCCCTCCATAAATATACCTAAATAAAAAAGATAAAAAAATTAAAATAATAAAATTTATTTAATAAATTTCAATTTTTTTTTACCTTAAAATTAATTGAAAAATTTCCGGTGAAATATTTGGTAATTTAATGTGTATCAAAGTTCCATCATTTTCCTTTTTATTAGTTGATAAAATTCTTCTCAAATAAGAAGAACGATAATTTAAAATAACTATATGTGAACGAAATATTTTTACGTAAGGATCATTACCAACTTCAATAGTAATATCGTAATATTCGTCATCATCCAAAATTTCAAGTAAATTTTGCGATAATTTTTGTAATAATATAAAATCCATTTTCTAAAATTAACAATTGTAATGAAGAAGAAAAAAAAAAAATTGAAAAATTGAGACAATGGAATTTTATATGTAATATTATGATGTAATGATGTACACAAATTTAACTGACATTGGAAAAGATTTTCCGTAAATTTTTATTGGGATCATCTTACCACATCAGCACTCGGCTATATGTTTATCATGTAATGCAAGTGATATTTGCAGGGCGTGACAAATAGAGAATAGAGATCAAAAAAAAAACGTCGTGAGATAAATATGAACGCGGCAGTCACAGTTAGACATCACACCTTCCAGAGGGTAGTGTTATAATTTCTTTTTTTAATAGTACAAATTACGAGGTTTCAAAATAACATGATTTCGTTTAAATTTTTTTAAAAAAAATGAATACGACTTTTCTTACTACAAATTTTACATTAACTGTTAAGGTGGATTTTTTAATATTTTTTCAACTTCAAATATATAGAGATCGCATCAAAATTATAATGTTTGATATAACAATTTTTATAACTGGAGTTTGTGTTACATCGATTTCTGAAAGTGTACAAAATTTGAACATTCCTTTAAAATAAAACAAATGTAATGAATGTGTTTATAACGAAATGCATATAGAGGTTTATGATGTCGAACGATTCAAATTTTTCGAACGGATTTTGAATTTAACTGATTTTATTGTCACAGTATCTTATTAAAGCAGAAAATTTGGTTCGTCATCATTTAAAATATTTTAAAAACATTTATTGATATCAGATGTTCAAGCTAAATTTAACAAAATTAAATTAGATAAATAACAAAATTTTGTTCAATCCAAAAAGTAGTCAAAAATAATGTGCTTATAAATACGAGATTAAATAACGCAATCGAAGTATTGAACCTTTTAAATTATGTTGTATTTGATTTATAAAGATTTTTCAAATGACACCTGATTTTAATTTTAAAAAAGATAAAAACCTGAATAAAACATCTTATCATATTTGATAAATTCATTATTATTCCTTGTTTATATATGATATTTAATTGTTGAAATTATTATTACGCGATGTTATTATTGCATTTCAAACAACGGTCTGCAAAGTTTAAAATTTAAAATTAATTTATATTATTATTTGGTTTATACGTCATATTTTGTGTATTCCAAAAGAAATTTTGGCATCACTTGAATTATTATATAAACTTTTATAATTGAAAACGTTAATATATTTTATTATTGATATTATTGATATTATATAAACAATATTAAAATATTTTTCCGCCATTGTAATAAAAAAAAAAAAAAAAGAAATAATTAAAATTCCCATAAATTTATCTTTTAATAATTTTAATAATAAATTCAAAGATTATTAATATCAATATCAAATTCTTTGGTGATATATTCTATATTATAAATTAAAAAATAAATTAAAATTATTATTCAGATACTGTAAAATTTAAAATATTTTACATACCGTTATTTCGAGGTTGATCTAAATTTATATTAATATCTATTTCGATTTCTTTCGTAATGTAATCTAAGTAATTAGATTTACAGAATAATTAGAATTTTATTTAACTAAATAAAAATGGGTTATCATTTACCTGAATTTTTAGTTTTAAATAATTTTCCCTTTTTAATAATGCTTTGACCTAAATAATTTTTTTAAAAAAAAAGAAAAATTATTAAATAAAATTTTTGTTATTTTTTGTTATTTATTACAGTTGAGGATAAAATAAAAACATTGATCAATCTTTTATTAAAGTTGATGTAAAAAGTCTAATTTTATCATATATACTATCGTCATTACTGTCTTCAACTGAATCATTCTCGAACTTTCTTTTATCTTTAAAATAAATGATAAACAATGGTATTAATAATAACATAAATAACATTAAACAATTATTTTTTTAAAAAAAATACCAGTAGATGCTATATTATTCTCCTGATAATAATAAAATGGATCTATATAGTTGTTCAAAAATAAATTAAAGTCAAAATTATCCTTATAGTAAATATGTATCGTTAGTATCACAAAAATTTTACCAGTTTCTAAGTTAGTGTTAATGGATCGACTTCTTGAACTTTTTAAAGACATTGCGGAATGAATCATACGACTTAAAGGTCTACTCTTATAAATAGCACCTGGATTATTTTTTGCTACAGGTCCAATATCTGATGATTTTATAATTTTAGTTGGATTTCTATAATAATAATTTTCCAGCTCATTTTTCCACATTTCTTCAATTTTCTCTAATATGTCGATAGTTGTTGGTCTTTTCTTTGGATCAGAGTGCCAGCAATCTTTCATTAATTCAATAAATCCTTTAGGTGCATTTGTAACAATTGGTGGTCGTAAACCATCACTTATATCAATAATAAGCTCTGTATCATGATCTCGATCCCAAAAAGGTCTTCTACCATTCGTAAACTCCCACATAATCATTCCGAAACTATATATATCTGAAGCTTCGGTATATTTCTGTCCTTGAAAAATCTCTGGTGCCATATAAGGAATAATGCCATAATTTTCATTTGTATTATCCGTAGATCCAGTTGCAGATTTACTAATTCCCAGATCACCTATATACGCGAAATATTCACCAATAAAGATATTTCCACTATGTAAATCTCTGTGGATAATTTTTGTTTTATGCATATGTTTAAGTCCAATTATTATACACCTTAATTTATTCAACCTATTTTCCCAACTAATATTATAAAAGTCATTACTTATAAAATGTGTCATATCTCCTGATTTATAATATGGCATAATTATCATATAATCTCTGGTAATAGGATCTCGAGTAATTCCAAGGTATTGACTAATGTTCAATTTAGATACGTTGCTATCCGAATAAATCTGATAAAATACCTTGAGCTAATTGAAAAAGTAATTAATTTTTATCGTTACATTTGAAGATTTAAAATATTACTTATAACGTACCTCATTCAGTTCCTTGGATGTAATGTTTTTGGAATCGTTAAGTTTTTTAAGAACAACGGTATAATTATTTTTACGACCATTATCCAAATGATTATTTTTAAACTTAAACCAATCGTAAATTGGACCATTAATCCAGGTAGCTTTATAAATTTTACTAAATCCTCCTTCGGCAATAAATTCAATATTTTTGAGTTTATTATAATAAACAAACTCCAATTCCCCTCCCAGTTCATTATTATTAGATTGTGTATATATGATAAAATCGTCAATAACATTGTTTCCACTTAATGTATACTTTCCACTTCGACATGCGTAACAAAGCTGGTTGCTTTCATCTATTGTTTTTCTTATTTTACATTCATTACATTTTTTATGATCGATGTTGTCTGATACTAAGAAGTCAATTTTATGTTTATAATTAATTGATTGTTCCATTGTATCGACTTTTCCTAATTATTTGAGAAAGAAAATTATCAATATACACAATACGTTAAATATTTTTTCAATAGTAAAAGTTGACAAAAATTAACGAATTCTTTTTTCGGACTCTAAAAATTCTTATTAAAAATTTCTAACCGGAAATGTCAAATAACTGAAAATGAATTTTTAATGAGAAGTCCATAAAAGAATTCTAAGAATTTTATTGTTATGTGGTTCACATGTTTGATTGTTAATTTACTCCATAAAGTATTTAATTTGTTGATCATTTAAGGCCACTCCAATTTAATAGTTTGTTTAACGTACCCCACCCCCCTCGTTTTTGAAAAATTTTTAAAAATAAACAAACATATGTTATATCACGTAACTTACAATAACATCACCGATCTGTATAATATTTAAAAGAATTTCTTTCCAGTGCATTTGAATCTACCAAAGAAAATATTCCCAGTGGTATAATTAATAAAAGTAATATATGTAAACTTATTAATTACATTATCTGTAATAAACCAAGATGTATTTTTAGTAAAAATGCATTGAGTGATAAAGAAAAAACTATGTTCATTTTTAAATGTTTACTTAATTTGACCCCCTCCCCCCCTTCAATTTTTATATAAAGTTAGGACGTTAAACAAACTATTAAATTGGAGTGGCCTAAATTACCGTTATGAGTAAAAAAGATAAACTAAAATTTGACGATTTCATAATGGTCATCACGTGAGGGCAGAGATATTCACGTGTTCGATCATAGAGCCGTGTCACTCATAAAGTATCATGTGATTAACTATTTTCTTTCTTATGAGAAAACAGTACTCATAAATTAGAGATTTCCTTGTTGTCTATATAAAAAATAAACGAAGACCTATTAGACTTATGGTCATTTATAAGCGGCATAGTTAATTACTGGCAAAAAATGAGCATGACAATGCGATAGGGTACATTTTATTATTTTAAATCTTTATTTATCCCTTAATAATTTAAAATGCACAAAAATACAAAATTACTTGCATTCCTTATAAAAAATTTATATTTGTATTCACTTTTTTTTTAATAATGTAATCCTGGTTAGTGTGTCAACTAAGACATCGACCCAATCACACAGTAAATACGTTAAAAAAGCGTACTTTTAAGTCATTGGTTAATCATAACTATTAAGAAATTAGAGAATATTACCCTAACGAT